TTAAGCTTTATATGTTTGATATTCTAGTAGGTGTTCTATTGTTTCTACTTGTTATTTGTATACTATACACTTTACTTATTTATATAGATTTAATCTTTTTATGGTCAGTTTGGGAAGTGTTTATAACTTTTAATTGATTAATTTGATAAGGAAGCTTTATTTTTGGAAATATTTAAAGAAGGTGTTTCAAGTGAATTCATTCTTCATCCTTTTCTATATCAAATTCCATATATAGTTATATTGATCTAAAATTTGTTGGTTTCATTTATTCAAAATTTTGTTTTGTTTTGTTTATTGATGAGTTGTAACTTTGCTATTCATGTTTTTAATAAACTGTCTTATAGAATTATTTATAGTTATTTGATATCACTTGATTTTAGTAATGATTTTAGATGAAATAAGATTTTTTCATTCAATTATAGAAAGTATTAAGACTTGCTTTACTAGAATATATTTTTTTTAATTGTATAAATTATTGAAATGTACTTTGATCTTGACTAGTTTCAGATTCAACTTTTCTTTTTTTAAAATATTCAATATTCTTGCTTATAGAAACTAGTTCTTTTTCTTTAACCATCTTTCGTAAGTTATTTTGGAATTGTCTTTCTCTATTATCTTTCACTTAACAATATAGACTTAACTATCTATAAAAATTTTGATCTTATTGTTTATTAGAATGACTAGTAATTTTATAATTATTGCTACAAATTCTGCTTTAGTAGATGATAGCCAATTATCTATTTCCATTTGAAACTTACTTTCTTTTTTTCCCTTCTTACTTGTATTTATGTTGTTTTTATCTTTATTTTTTTACTTCCATAATCAATAAGAGATTTATCAGAGTAAAAAATTAATATTTCTTTAAATTATTAGTTATGTCAGAGTATTTTAATTAGGTGATTTTGATATGCTCCCTTTTTTATATTAATTCTAATGATCTGCTTTCCCAATTCTTTATATCTACTTGATTTACTTTACTATTTGGACTGAATTTATAATTATCTTATATTGTTTTTTCTATTATTCTTTCTAAAGATATTTTAAGGTTTGAGATATTTAATTTCTGAACTTTTCTAGTGAATTTTCTTATATTTAGGTAGAAAATTTCATATATTCTATTTTTTTTTTGTCTCTATTATATATTGACCTCTAATTTCTCTATTTTTTATATATTTTAAATATTTTGTCAAGCTAGTCTCCTGACTATTTGGAAACTTAATATACTTGAAGTGTTCTATTTGTATTATTTGCTTAGTATCTTTTGATCTTAGCTTTTTTTATATTATTTTCTGATATCTTTTACTTGTTACTATTCAGAATATTTATCTTTTATCAAGATCTGAACTTATTATTATAATTGTTAATCCTTATTTTGATTAGTTTTCTTTCCAAAGTTTTGTGTGCTATTCTAGTTCTCTTTATTGTATACACCTTTCTATAGCTAGCTACTATTCTGAAATAGATCCCTTATTGGTCTTTGCAATTAGTTGAATTATTTGTTATTTTTTTAGTTCTTTAGTTTTATGAGTATTCAATTGATTTGTATATATCAGCTTATTAATTCTAAGTGATAGTATAGTTTTCACATATTAATCTAGTGCTAGGTACTCTTTGATTGAGTAATTTTCTTTGTTTTATTTAAAAATATCTTATCATTTTTAGCTTTAAAACATATCAAAATCTTTGGCCAGTTTCATTACTTGAAATACAAAATTATTATTACCTTATATATAATTTAATGACTTATAAATAAGTAGATTAAGTAGCTTCTAGTATTTAACTTGTGTTTGTTTAATTTTGATAACTATTATAAGTTTTGATAGTTTTAAATTATTTGGTTTATTATATAATCCTGTTATTTAACTTTTCTTTTATAGTATTCAAATACTCTTTAAGTTATAAATTTTTGAAACATATATTATACTATTATATAGTATATAAATTTATATAAGTTGCTTTTGTTTTTAAAGAGCTTTCTATATATTATGATTAAAGTATTACATATTTTCTAGAATAGCATACTATATTATTATCCTTGATAACAGGACCCTATTTAAAAAAAATTTTTTTTAAGATACTAGCTCATCTTTGCACCCATGTGTTGCATATTTTATTAAAGTAAAAAAATCTAGAAACAATTGGAATAAATAATTATCTGTACTGTCTAAGGATTTACAGATCAATAAATAGTACAAGAAGTAAACTATTTATATTTCATCCAACAAAATAAGATAATTACATGACTGTCTAGTATATATTAACTACTTACAAAAACAAAATGTTAAAAGTAATAAAAAGAATGATACACAAACTATTACTTTTCTATTATATACTTAGGCACTCCTTAGAAACTTGAATTCTGCCAGAACTTTATCGATGGCTTAGGTTTTAATCCACCAGGTGGCTTATTGCTATTCATAAAAAGGGAGCTAATGTATCAAGGATTCATCTGAAGTACCTAGCACCAATGATATTGGGATCACTTATATGAAACCTTAACCTCTACTAGTGCTTAACCAAAAATTTTATAAAAAAATAGTTAATTAATATTATTCCTGAAGAGATACTTTGTTGTTTAAAAAAGTAGCAGATATTTTTTCAAAGAAGAGATAATAGGTATCCAAAACTCTCCTAAAAGGATCCTATTCCATAAGATCATTTTCTTTTTTGCTTGAGTTCACTGAAGTAGGAAAAAAGAAGTGTGAAACTGATATTTTCTATCCAATATATCTTAATCCAGTACTGTTTTTTCTTTATAGCCAATGACATCATAAGTATTCATGTTTTGTATCTATCTGCATTATAATATATGATTTATGGTAAACCTCGGGTTCTTATGTATATTGAGGAAATACATTATAACATATGAAGTGGCCAATGAAAGTTTGTTTACATTGTGATCAAATTTATATTTGATTAATGTATTTAAGTGGAATTGCTTTTAAAAGAACATATTTCCAAAAAAAGAATTAAAGAAGTATTCAAGAATAGATTTATCAAGAATCCTTTAAACAGTATTATACAGTATTTTACAAGAAATATGGTTTGCTTAGAACTCAAGCTTATTAATAAATCAAAAAAACTAAAACAATTTCTTTGATTCTAAAATCAAGAGAAGATATTCAATCTTCAAGAAATTAAAATAAAGTTATCTATCAATTTTTAAAGTCAAGTGAAGTTATATTCAAACTTATCCTACTTTTGAGTGAATTATGACTACTTATATACTTGTAAAAATGGGTCAATTGGGTCTCTTGGATTGCCTGATCTATGATAAATTATGTTATATGCTACATTTAATAAAGTGATTTATACTAATTAAGTATCAATAAGAATATAAAAGAATATTAAAAAAATAATTATAAATAAATAGATAAAATGGAAATAGAATAAAAATTATAACTGAAAATAATTATTCAATGGTATTAAAGACTATTTTTATTATACTTTCTCCTCTTTAAAAGGTGAAGTCCTCTAAGTCAAGTTTTCTCACATAGGAAATAAAATCATTTTGATAAATTTCATTAGTTATTCCAAATAAATAGTTCATGGACAAGAACTTTGTTTGATAAATTTGATTTGAATTGCTTTGAAAAATTTTATAGATGTGTCTAGTTATGTAATAATAATAGTGAGAATTTTTAAGTAGATTTTCTTGGAGGTAGATATGAGTTCTTAAAGAAGGAGGCAGTAATAAAAGTTAGATGTTTCTCACTAGAAAACATTAAAAATTTTAAATTAATAACCATAAAAAACTATTCACAATTGTTCTCTATTATCCAAATCATTAATTTATAATATTTCCTGACTTTTGTTCCTATTAAAGTGAAGAGCTATAAATTTTGTCTCTAAAAAGGGACATAAGTGATCTACAAGATTTTATATGCTAAATAATTTAAGAACCCATCATTACCTAGAGATATTATTGTCACAATTGTTTGAAGTCTTGAATAGTATTTAACAGTTCTCCCAAATAGTATAAATTGATCAAAGTGGTTATGTGATCAGATTGTTGCATGTGTTGCTTGATTTTTAAAAGAGTATTTTTAATACTATCCTTCATTGGAGCAATAGGATTGTATAGAGTTCATACTGATTTGGAGTTTCATCCAAAATAGATAATATATCCATTGTTATAAATAGTTTAGAAGAAACCATCTTGGGACTTGTTCAAATATTTTTATATCTCTACCTTTGTATACTTTATTTTGTGTGATAGAAGAACAGACTCTTCTATTTGCAGGTAATATGAGCTTTTGATTATTAGTGACAAACTCATCGATCAGCCTACTATACTATCAAAAATCTTTTGTTTTCCTTTTTTTTTTTATTAGAAAATTTTCTTATAGGTTATGAGTTATTCATTTATTTTTCTATCTTTGAAGATATAATAGTAAAGTTTTCTTCTTCTTTTTTGTTAGTTTTTTTTCAGATACTATAAAGTGTCATCTTCTTCTTTACAATGGAAAATTGTCTATGCATTGTTATTAAAAAACTCTTTCTTAAAAGTTTTTGAGTCTTTTGATAGTTCCAATACATTTTAGAGATATACCACTCATTCACATTTTGATATTAGCATAATTAGTGAAAATGAATGAAATTTTGTAGTATTAAAGAAAGATATACTGTAATTACAAAGTCAATGACAAACAATTCAGGTATAATTATTTTGCTAATGCATAATATACAGTAAAATAGATATGCTATAGATAAACGAATCTTATTTAAAAGAAAGATCAGTAATATAAAATATGTAATATTTATTATAAAAGAATCAAACGTGAAACGCAGTAGAAAATATTTATTATAAAAGAATCAAACATGAAACGCAGTAGAAAATCGGTAATCAATGATGAAATGAAATGAATTAGATATGCTAAAAAGCAATCACAGACACTCATCAATAAAAACCTACAAACATGCTAATTTTTTTTTTCTGATTATGCAAAAATTCTTATTTATTTGACTAAATCTTTTAATTATTGTCTCAGTTAAAATAAATGCAATTCCATATTTTCATATCTCTCGATCAGGAATTCCTTAAGAAAAGGTTCAAAGCTCTTCTTGTGGCACTAGAGAAATCGAAGAAATCGGCTTACACTCAATTTTACATAATGATGCTTTTCATTCTCGTTACCTCCAAACACCTGGATCATCACGCCAAGTTTACATATGTATCTGAGAGAGGATTTTCTATGTGAATATATAAATCTTTTTTTATTAAAGAAAATTCCAAGTTGGCGTCTAAATTTGATAAATATGGAAAGGTGTTCAATTGATCGAAATTTGATTACATGGTGTCCATTTCAAGCGTTCACATCAAGAATGGCATAGCATGTAGTACCGTTTAATAAATCAACACATGGTATCGTGGTATTTCCACCCAATGATAATCAAACGCTGTTCGATGTTTCTGAAAGTTTGATATTACAATATTACAAAAATTTTTGCTAATTCTATGAAACCAAATAATTTAAAATTCACCATAATTTAACATAATAACAATCAATGGTTATAATATTAAGATGATTATGAATTATTAAAAAAAAAAAGGATTCTTTTTTAAAAAAAAGAAAAAACTTTCTGGTTCGTAACTTGAAATAATGCGAATGTAACTTCGATTTTATGATCTATACAAATTCTAGGGCATCATAAATCACTGGTTTGTCTTCAAAAAACAAATTGCCCAGGCACGTAATAATTTTATTAATTTTACGAAAAACTCTGTTAAATTACACATTACTGTATATATAGGAAAATGATAGATTTAATTCCGTAATGCTCATGTGACCAACTCTATCCGGATGTACGGTACATGCGGATTACAAATTAAATACGTAAAGATAACAATGGAACACGCAAAAAATAGGATGATGCTCACGTGCGTAATAAAATAGAAAATTCTGGAAAAGTAAACGACGGTGAAATTTTCCTAAGTGAATTTATTTTATAGCGAACATAAAAAATGTATTGCCCTAAACGTAATCGTCACGATGAAGTCACACACCAAAAATCAGTTCATTGCCTTTGATATAAATTAAAGCCTCCAGTAACTTATACTAAATCACAAAAAAATGAACGCTTCAGTGACCGTTAACTCACTTCCACAACTCGTTGCCACTCGACATAATTTTCCGAAAGTTTCACCCAATCCAGCTAATGTCCTAAGGATTTTTCTTATCCAAACAGCTCTGGGTCTTTTCAATACTTCGGGTGGGTATAAGGCGAACTATTATCTCTTATCTTCCTTAGCAGAACAAGGAAATGTTTGCCGATCCATCGTTCTCTGTTGGAAGAACGATTTACTTGCTGCAGGCGTCGATTATGCAGAGGAGCGCGCGCGTTTTGGAGATGAAGGTAACGAAATTTCGGTCTACCGATTTGTTTGGGGCGGCGTCGAAATTATTGGTCTCGAGTTGGAACGGTACCTCGAGGTTTTTCCGCGGAGTTCACTCTCCAAGCCGCTTAAAAATGTTGAAGACCGGATGAAACGTTGGTTAGAGGTATACATACCTGCTTTTATTGGGTTTTTATTCTCAGTCAATTTTACATTGGTGTCAACGAATGTAGGATAAAGAATATGCCGCGGAATACGATGCGTACCGTCGCTTTATAATAAAGGAACTCATGTCTTTCGGTGCGACTCATTTTGTATTTAACGATTCGGTTTCCCTTAAAATCGCGTCGACCTTACCTTCTACTATTCGAGTGTTCATCTGTCACGCTTGCGAGCATCTCCCATTTGGCCCATATGGCGGCGTACCAGGATTTGGTAGCTCGTCCTCCCAAACTGAACACAAATGGTTAAAGGAAATTGAAGGCGTGTGGGCAGTTAGTCGCGCGATTAAAGATTATATGACGGCTCATGGTAGAGGACTTCATTCAACCTATCTTCCGTTGCATCCCGCAATTTTTGGAAAATTACCATTCAAAAAATATTATAACTTTGATTCGCCATACGTCTTGGCAATCAATCCTGGAAGCGTCAAGGGATATACCATTTTCAGAAATTTAGCCGAAAGAATGGAGGATGTTAAGTTCGCTGCTGTCGAGAGCTGGTGCGTAAGTGAATACCAATTGAAAGAGTTGGAGAAAATGCCTAATGTTGCGTAAGTATCAGTCGGATTGCCGCGAGTTGATTAATTGGTTTTTTGGTCCATCTAACTTGTGAACACGTGAAAAAATAGAACACTGCCAATGTTCAAAAACATGGAAGAATTATGGCCACTGGCCAAGGTTCTCCTTGTACCGTCTATTTGGTAAGCAAATATATATATATATATATAGTATGTATACATAATATTAAAAAAATAAATAATAAATAATATGTAATATGCGGGTGTCAGGTACGAAGCTTTTGGACTCGTGGTTGTGGAGGCCATGCTAAGGGGAATTCCCGTCATTTGTTCAGACGCGGGTGGTTTGGTTGAAGCCAAGTGTGGCGTCGCATTCGGAACGATACACGTTAACGTCATAAACGGAGAACGAGAAACTGACAATGATGTTATACAAGAGATGGGTATTTATAAAATTCCGCATCAAAACATTGAACCATGGATTCAAACGCTTAGGAGTCTGCTAGATGATCGAGAAACCTACGAACGAATTAGTCGTGAATGCCATGAGAAATCCACCGAACATATTCAAAGCATAGACGTTGAAGCTTATGCGAGATGGTTTATAGAGTTGAAGTATGCAAAGAAGGCTTGTAAAGCATCCATTTGAATTTTTTTTTTTTTTTAAAAAAAAAAAAAGAAGAAATAATGCATGACGTGAGCCTAATGCTGACACGTTAAATTGCATCTATCACGATGGGTTTTATATGAATTTAATAATTATTTTAATCATTATTATTAATTAGAATTGACTATAAAAAAGATAAACTTTACATAGTGATATATAACAATCGGCATATTGGTCAATGAATTTCATATTTGTAAAATTGTTTTCCTATCATTAGTTACTATTTTTTCCAAATTATTTTTTCTTCAAATGAATCACTTGTCTTTTTTTGATTATAGTTTCGCAAAAGGTGGATTGAAGAAAAAATTCCACTACACGCAAAAGTTTAATAAACACCAATCACGTGGTTCGTTTATTTATGATGAAATACAGTACACGGCATATGGTTTTTTTTTACCTCGCCTGTGATTTATCCCTTAAGTGTTGCAAGTTTAAAAGTTTTTCACTATATTAGAAAAAATTGAACTGCATTCTCAAACACTGACTGCCTGTCTTCGAATGGTTTGTTGCAATGAAACGACATTTAAATAGAACAGTATTAATTATTTTATTATTATTAGAGGATAAGAAAAAAATTTTTTTTTTCTTTTTAAATCTACATGTTTGATATATGCTTTCGTCACTTTCAAAGCCATATAAACAATGTTGGTAGGCGGTCGTTGGTTTGTTTGTGCTCAAATACGTATATTTAAGGACCTGATGTCATATCGAGCACAAATTTTTTTCTTTGGCTGATGTTCAACGAACGCGAAATTTATTATTATTATTATTATTATACTAATTGCCGATTCAACGACAAAAATTTGTGGCATATTTATATTTCCATCAATAATGGGTCTTTGGAATTGAGGCGACAAGGATTAGTTGCTGAATCGATATTTATAATGAGCCTAGGATTACAATAGATGTCGTTTGAGGATTTAAGGTTCCGGAATAAATTTTTTATATTACACTTGAAGTCTTGGTTTATACTAACAAAAATTAAATCAAGCTATTCCGAATATTTTAACAACTTAACTGAAATGTTATGTTTAAACCATGATTGGAAATTCTCGTTACACCACACGTGAGGCTACCGATTCATATAAGTATATACTGTAAAAAATTTTTTTTTCCTACTAACATACAAGATGGTAATTTTAATTCAAACTTTTCTTTCTCTGGATGAAATTAATCGGATCCAATTTGGTTTATAATTATAATTATTATTATTTTTTTTTTTTTTAAAAAAAAAAACACATTTCATGTAGCCGAATAATAAACGGAAAACTTTTAAAGCCATCAGTAAGAAGCATGGTACTACGGCCTCGGCAATTCATCCCTATTCTCGTCGGGCAGCGCAATTACAACGAGTTTCATTGCGTAAGGATAAATTGGAGCAGAGTAAATTAAAGAGAATGGCTGAAGTCCAACCAATTGGTCCGAGAATTTCTGATTCTGGTGTCTTGCATTAAAAATTTCTTTAATTCAGTTTGTACTTTGATTTTTTTAGTTGAAAGAATATTATGGTTCAGATATGCATTAGATGATTCTGTTCCTTGCGCCACAAAAGCCGAAGTTTATGATCTAATTGATATGTAATTATAGTTGACCATTTAGCATTAACTTTTATTATAATTTTTGCCTTACTATTTATTCTCGATATCCTCAAAGGTACATATCTCGGAATGATGAAGAAATTGCTAAAATAAATTCGTCTCGAAAAAAACTCCATGACAGGTCAAAGTCCAATTCAGAAGACTTTCTGGAAGCACTGAAATTAAAAGAAAAAAAGGAGTACGTGGAGGGGTTCGGTAATTATATTCTTATTACAACATCGCGTTTGAATCAAATTTACTGTTTATAAAATTTTACTTGAAATTAGAAATACCGGATTTGATGAGTCCGAAAAATGTCAAGATACTCCGGTACTTATTTTTGAGACATCTAAAATTGACCAACTTGATATAACCATGATCCCATCAAACAAAATTTTTAGTGAATGGGACGGTGATCCGAATTCCAAGCCAAGGATTAAACTTGTTCGCGTTGAAGACCCAAATAATGTTGCCACTCTAACGGCAACGGTGAAGGATCTTGAGGAGAAGAAGGGGAAAACGGATGGAACAAAATTAATGTTTTAGAAGAAGAATTAACATTTTTAAGTCACAGCAATAATAAAACCAACTCACTTGATTAAGTGTAATACAATTTTTCCAAAGTATAATATAAAGGTTGATTTTATATGCCACTCTATTTAAACAGCAAATAATGATAAATTTTAATGTGTTACATGCATTATTGTGATTTATAAATGGTTTCTTTGATATATTGTATAATGTTTAATATAAGATTTATTTTGCACCATAAAAAAAAAAAAAAAAATCAATAAGATTATTCTTTTAATACCAATTTAAATGTTATATTTTTAATCAATTTAAAGTTCTTTTGAGTAATGTGAATACAAAAATATTAAAGTTAATACTCAAGTTAATAAAAACAATGGCCTTTTATCTTAATCTCTTGTAAAAGCAAATAAATAAATGGTTAGATATTTTATATTGTTATTAGAAAAAAAGACATGAAAAAATACAAGCCAAAAAATTTAAAGTAAATAATCATTACTTATATACAAATAACCGATTAAATGAAATAAAATTATTTGATATTTTATATATATAATATATTATTTTCAAGTATTAATTTTTTAACAAATAATCAGAAAAAAAAAACACGAAGAATTAAGAATGTACCGTTACTTATTGAACAAAAATTATAAAAAGTTATTAAATATTGAAATAAATTAATAAATATATAATGTATTATAAAACTTTAAAATTTTATTTATATAATATAAACATCAATAACTTTTTTAAAATAAAAAAAATTTATATAAAATTCTAACTAAGTAAATAATATATTATAATTTTTTTTTTTTAAACACTGGCTCATCCTGCACTACTTTGGGTCACTTTATTAAAAGAAAACCATATTTAAGAACAATCAGAATGAATATCTCCCTGTATCATCTAAGAATTTATAGATTATTAGAAAAAAAATAATACAAAAGACTATTTATTTACAAAACTTGATCTAAGTCTAACCTAACCAGAATAAGAAAAATACATGACCACCTAGTATAAATAATTTCTTCTAATAATAAAGAGAGGATTGATCAAATACACTCAATGGTGCATTATAATATATTATAATATACAATATATATATATATCCTTAAAATTTCAATTTATTTTATTTGTTTTTTTATAAATAAACTTTTATAACTTTATCTTTTGAAAAAAATACATAATAAATTATATTATATTTGTAAGATAATAAAATTACTTCTACAAATAAAATATATTTTATAACTGATATAAATTGTCAACTATATATTATAATCTTAAAAAATGATATTTTAAAAATGATGATTTAAGAAAATTAAATAAAAATTATCTTAAAAAATTATTTCAAATGTATTAAAAATAATTTTATAAAAATGGATTATAAAAATAATTTACTTTTAAATATACTATACCTGTATTTACTATTATTTATAAAAAAGATTATATAACTTAAACAAAAAAATATCTTAATAACAATTAAAAAAACTCTTTTATTTTTGAATAATATAATATTTTAATTATTTAAAAATATAATTATTCAATAATATAAAGATACAAAATTAATTAAAAGAATGTCTAAAGGTTATACAAAAATTTTTATATAGAGAAAATTTTGTACAAAAAAAAAAAAATTTTTTTTTGTTTTAATAATATTATAAATATAAAATTTTATATTAATATTTTATAAAATTATAAACAAAAAATTAGAGAATTACTTAGAAATAATTGATACTTTTAACAAAATATTAATTCTAAATATATTAATAAAATTATTAAATAAAAAATTTTTAAAATTATAAATTGATCTTTCAATAGTTCAAATTTAATTTTTTTGATCTATTGTTAAAAAAAATATAAAAATAAAATCACTTTAAAATTTTTAAAATTAAAATAACTCATGATAAAAAATAAAAAAATTTTTTAATAAAATTATAATTATATTTATAAATCCACTAATCAAAAAATATAAATTAATAATTAAAAATAATAGTAAAAGAATTAATTATTAATTTCTGCAATAGTGATCTGCAGGCAATGAAGTTAGCAATTGAAAGGGTTTTTACCTGAACTACTAATGGAATGATAAATTACTTCCAAAGTTACACTTAGAGTTTTGATAAATTTCAAAATAATATCAAGTGAATTAGATAGAGATTTAGCTTTAGTAACATATTTTTAATGTAAAGTATACAAAATATTTAATAAAGCACACACATCTAACTTAACAGAGGGTTTGAAAAAAAATTGATTATTAATTAATTATGTATCAATAAAATCTTTAGATTTAAACTTTATTATTATTATTTTTTAATATACAATCATAACATATATAACTTAATTTTTATTGAGAAGTTTAAACTATTTACAATATTACAAATTTTTCATATAATAATTAACTTATTATTATATCAAAATACTTTAAATCAGATCTAAGAAATAATATTTTATTTCCTTAAAGAATTAATATATACAGTGTATAACAAAACTTTTTAGAATTTTTTAAAATGCATATTTTTGTTTATAAATTAATAAAAAATTATTCAAATTATTTAAAACTT